GTTCTGGCTTGGCGCAGTCAAAGCCCTGGTTTAACTCTAATTGAAATGTGGGGAATTTGAAAAAGGCAGTTCATTCAAGGAAAACTCACAAACTCTTGCAACTGAAGAAGTTTTTAAGAGGGAATGGTCAAAAATTCCACGTTGATGACAGAGTGCAAAATGCCGGCTAAAGGGGGCAGTATAAACTACTGAAGACAAAGTGTACTTTTTCCACAATACATCTAGTGGTATCTTTGTTGAATACATTTGTGTGGTTTTTTTTTTTGTTTTTTTGTTTGTTTGTTTTTGACTGAAGGTACACTGAGTGGCCAGATTATTATGACCACCCCATCAGTACTTTGTTGGGTCGTCTCGTGACTCCACGAGATGTTGAAAGGTGATGCGAGGAATCTGACACTGCACTGTTGCCCTTCTGTTGTCTTGTACCAGCCTTGCCACTCTCCGTTCTGCCCTAACATTGACTAGTCGCTGACGGCCGCAATTCGCACGTTCAGACCCAGATTTTCCGCTGACAGTCCAGTCTTTAAACACTTTAACAACAGCTGCTCTTGAACATTTAACGAATTCTGCTGTTTTGCTGATACTCGCTCCATGGCTCCGAGCGCCAACAATCATCCCACGTTCAAAGGCTGTTAAATCGCGTTGTTTATCCATATCTTCAGAAAAAAATCACTTCTACTGTCGTGGTAAACAACCTGCTTCCCTATTTATAATGGTCTGGCCCTCTAGCAACTTCAGCGCAAAATTATAGCTAATTTGCCTACAAACATCAGGTGGTCATAATAATCTGGCCGCTCAGTGTATAGTACCTTTTTCTGGTAAGCATTGTTTGAATGCAGATCTAAACTTTGCCTGTTGAAAAAGTCAGCAGTTACCATGTACTCACTTTTCACATGACTGTACATGTAATGTAATGTTTTAGGATTTATGTTTGAATTTGGATGGAAAGTTGGAGAGGGATATTGAACACTGATTGTATTTTTCTTGTGGTCTTTTATTTGATCTACAAGCCAATGTTGCATGTTCTAAATGAGGCTAATGAGTGTTTTGCTATACCCTGTATATTCATATCACCATTGTTCTTTTTTTCCTAGGCTGGATGGTAAGCACGTGGTGTTTGGTAATGTGACAGAAGGCTACGATGTACTGAAGAAAATTGAAGGTTGTGGACAGAAGGGTGGCCGCCCTACAAAAAAGATTGTTATTGCAGATTGTGGTGAACTTTCTTGATATCAACTCTTTCTTCCACGCTATAAATTTGTCTTGCAGCTGTGAATTACCTGTCCTCCTCCTGAGCAACCGGAAGTAACGTTACTCAGGGACCGAGAAATGTGATTTCTGCCATTTAAATCTAAAGCTAAAAAGACTAATCTTGGTACTACATTGTTTACCTCTTGCTATAGCATAAAATGACTTTGCTGATTTACTTGCGAGCAAAAGGTGATGGCAGCCGACGCGATCAAGACTACTGGAATATTTTGTAACACTGAAGCCAAGCACTTTGATCACTTTCATTTTTGGGATGTCTCACACTGGTTAGGCAAGGCTGTGTTTTTTATTCTAGTTGGATGGCTGTTTTCCCCAAAACGTTTACCAGGATGGATACCATAAATTGCATAGAGATGTTCCTTTTTACTGTACAAGACAGTATCAATTTTTCCTTACTGGATGATGAATACCTCACAGCTGTCATACTGTGTTTTTAATGCCCATAATCAGCTGTAATGAAAATTAATTTTTTCAAAGAGTTTTTTTTGTGTGTGTAACATGAACAATCATCCCGCGTTCAAAGGCTGTTTAATCGCGTTGTTTACCCAGATCTTCAGAAAAAAAATCACTTCTTGGGGGGTACTGGAAAAAATACATTGGGGGGTACTGGACCAGGCACTAAAACTAAACAGTAGTGTAATTACTTCAAGGGGTTTTCATACAAATAATAGGCCATGTAGAGGTGCTTGTGCCTTAAGGCACCAAAGTTATAAGCCACTTAAAGATTCAAATGAGGCAATGGACCTCCCATGTTCCTTTCAAATTTATGAAGTAAGAGTTCTATTCATTTTTCCTCAAAGTGGGAAAACTCCTTTTTGAAGTGAACATGTTAAATATGGGCTTTACCATTGCTGAATTAAATATAGGCTCTGTGGCTGCCATCATCAGCCTGGCTTTACTGTCCAGTGATTCAATGGCATGGAACAGGAATGCAGTCATTAAAGTCTGCTTTACCATCGTGCATACATTTAGTGACTCACCAGTTAGTAAGCCAGCATAAGTATAGCTGCCCCAGTGCCTACACCTTTTTAAAAACAAGTTAGGGATGTTGTTTACCACATATTATCCTAAGACGTTCTCTTGAACTAAACTGAATTGTAACATACTAATGTGTTCATTTTCAGGACATGTGTTTAGTTCCTGTTTCATTTTGTACAATGTCCTATGCAAACTGGATTATATACATATGCAAGCCTTGGCAATCGTTCAGTTTTCAGGGGACCTCCCCTTTGAGCTGTCATCTTCTGCTAGTCACATGCACACATTCAGACAGGGCTCACAACAGACTTTCATCCTTCGAAGGTTTAGTTCACTCATTATCACTGCACAGGAAATTGAGCTTCCTGAGAACAAACCAGAAAAATATCATAGTAACAGAGTTTTTAGCATTCATAATTTTTTGAATATATAATGTCATTGCACCCAGACTTAATAAAAATAGGTTCTTCTCAATACTTAAAGTATGAAACCTAAAAATATCAAATGGCTTCATAGTTACATACCGTATTTTTCCGTCTATAAGACGCCCCCATGTATAGGACGCCCCCCACTTTTCTTACCCAAAATTCAGAAATCAATATTTTCCATGCTTTTTTGCAAAAATTATTACATCCAGTTTACATTTTGCAGAGTAAGACAGCCGCCTCCTGGTATTGGTATTTACCGGGATTTTTTTTTGTTTTCTGACATTTTATGGGCTCCGAATGCTCCGACATTACCGCTCCCTGTTACATCTGGGCACTGGCTACAGGCTCTCCGCAGCATCAGCTGACGTCTGGTACATAAGGCTCATGATTGGAGGAAACCTGTTAGCTTGTCTCTGCAATCGGAAGTTTCACTCGTGAGGCTAGTTTGCAGAGGGATCGGCAGTTTCGCAACACCCCTCCATTTTTTAGGTAAATATTTTTATGAAAAAGTATAGTCTTATACATGGAAAAATACAGTAGTTACATAGTATTTGGGGTTGAATAAAGACGTACGCCCATCAAGTCCAACCCATATAGGTCCACGAATCATCTCATTCTTAGGGATACTGGTATCCCTGGATATTACGGCCCCTCAAGAAATTTTCCAAACGTTTCTTGAACAAATCTACACTCTTGGCTGAAATCACTGCCGATGGCAGTGAGTTCCAGAACTTAAGCGCTCTTACTGTAAAGAACCCTCTTCGCCCCTTGTGCTGGAATTTTTTCTCCACCAACTTTAGGTGGTGGCCTCTAGTCTTTGTAATGGAGTTAATCTCAAAGCTTCATGAGCTGTTATTTTGAAAAGTTGACAATAACAAGTCATTAACTATGCACATTTCTACTACACTTTGAATGATCAAACTGGTGTTTTGTATACTAGCAGCTAGTAAAGGGCATACTTTCCCCGACACCTGTGGTATTAATATTGTTTTTGTAATGCAAAGGATTCTTTTATAACTGGTACTTTTTGTGTTTTAAAATGTTTACAACACTTGCACAATAAAATATATGTTTTAATACAAAATAGTAATGTTTGATCTTCTTTAAGCATGGGATTTTTGTCTGAGCTTATTAAATCTTGAAATATTGCAGATCTGTCATTCAGAATAAATGAAGTCTTGACATTTGGTGGTGACAGGATGGATTTCATGCACATATAAAAATATTCCTTTTTGTTATGCAGCTAGTTTGTGTGTATGTATAATAATGTGTGTGTGTACATGTATAGCCAGGATTGGTAAAACTGGTGGAATATGTGGCAAGAGCTTTGTAGAATTTCAGAATGGGTGTAAATGCAGGCTATTTGACTAAGTATTGTGATTTTAAATGCTTAGTCAGGATTGGTGGTTTAGTTTAGGGGGCTGACACCTTTGTCTGGTGAGGACTAAAGCTGATCATCCACAGGTTGCATTTTGGCTGATTTTCTGCTTAATCTGTAAATGTCAGCTGTAAGTGAAGTTTGCCACCCTCTTTCACGATCACTGGCTTTAATTGCATGGCTGTTGAAACCCAAGTCTTCGGAGACTGGTCACTTAAAGGAGAACTATCGGTCAGGGGTTTTCCCCCATAGTTCTCCTTAGGGTAACGGGAGGACACAAACTAGCGTCCTCCCGTTACCCTAAGCTCAGTATACCGCGAGCTACAGCTCGCGGTATACTGAGACGCCGGAGCGGATCCCGACATCGATGTCGAGATCCGCCCAGCTGCGTGAGTGACAGCTGGCTCTGCCTATCTAGAGGCAGAGCCAGCTGTACCCGCCCCCTCCCCCGTCCGTTCCGCCAGTCAGCGCTGGCAGATCGGAGCGGGGAGAGGGGAATCCAGCCCCTCCCCCTGTCACGGCAGAGAGCCGTGACAGGATCGAGAGGTGAGCGAACCCGGTATGTGTTCGCTCACCTCCCGATCTACTGAGCCGACCTGTGACAGTCTCATTGTCACAGGTCGGCTAGAACTATGAGGTGAGTGGAAATCACTCATCTCATAGTTCTCCTGAAGTCCATAATTCTCACTCAGCTAAGAAGTCTACCTCCCATAATGTCTACTATCGCACTTGGAAGGCAGTGGCAGACCTAAGGAACAAAGGGTCCCTGCGT